GTTCTAATGCTTGAATATGTATTTTTGCCCCAACTCCAATTTCATTATGCATTTTTAGCACCGTTTAATAATTACTGATATGGACAGTTATTTTTCATCCAGGCTGAAAGCATTTTAAAAATATTTCGTGAATGACTGTTGCGTTAAATTCTTATGTGAGTGGATTTTAAGAAATAGAGAAAGCATTTCATTTGTTTTAAAATATAGTTTTAAAATATAGTTTCAATATTAAATATTATGCCTTTATTTAGAGGATATTACAGCTAGATTCTTTCTCTTAGAATGAACAAAGAAGCTTTTATTCTGCTCATTTAAACTGTCACTGTATTTATTATTTTAAGGTTTGTTTTTTCTCTAGTTGGACCATTAGGTCCAAGTAACTGAAGTCCTGTAGCATTCCCTCCAACTCTTGGTTCTTCAGACACAATTGGGATTAGTTAGACTGGCCCAGCTTCAGGTTAAATAAGGCATTTGTGGAAAGCACTGTTTATTACCTGGAATTCACATTCTTCCAGAGTGACCAGGATGGCCAGCTTGACATTTAGCTGTCATGCATCTTTTCACATTTCTTCCCTGATCAACCAAAGGCTAAACCATATCTTCTCTCCTAATATTATTGTGGCCATTCATGATTTTGTTCAACAGGAAGAAAAATTCCTGGTTATGTAAGTGATAGTACAGTGAGCATTACCTAAGTAAAAACTGTATTAGATTGCTGAGAAAAAAATGACGACGCTATGTAAAAGATTGATCGCCACTGTAATGTATAACCATAGCACATATTTCCATAACAGTCCAAGTGATGATAAACAGCAGACCGCAGTGGCTAATTCACGGTAGCAGATGTGTTCCTGTTTCAAACAAGTGCGAGCACAGTAAAAATAATTTACATTTAATGAGCTTGTACTAAGTGCTAGACATTAGCCAAGTGCTTTACAAGCATTATCTAATTTAATTCTAATAACACATTTCCTAGGCAAGTATTATCATCATGCCCACTTTTTATCTGAGGAAACTGTAAATGGGAGAAAGCATGCACAGAGTTATAGGGTGTCGGAGCCAGGACCCAGACACAGTCCAGTCTGCCTCTGGAAGCCCTTTCCAAGGGATCCCCCCGTGTGTTTTCCAGTATGAAAGACCTGTGGGTCCATGGGGACTGCAACCCAGGCACTGACAAATGAGAGGCCACAGAATCTTTGGGTTTCACAGGGCAGCTTTACGACTTCTTTGGTTAACTCTGAGTGCCGAACTCCAAGTATCCTCCGGTTAATTGAAGCCTTGAGAGAACACATTTAGAATTGTCTATGCTGGATTTGAGGTCATACTTCAGAACTACTGAAACATAATATACCAATTATCGTTGTGCATAAAATGTTCATTATATCTAGGTCATTTTTTCTCTGTCTTACTTGAGACTCCTATGAAATGATTCTAACTCACACATATAATGGAGAGGAACTTTTTGATCCTTATTTAGGGGAAAGGAAAGAACAATTTCTGTTGTAATTAAACTTTTCCCTGTCTGGAGACATGGCAAGCAGTATCTCCTTTGTGCAGATGATTAGAAAATCTCTGGTTAAGATCTTTCACAGGAGATCTGGATAGATATCTCATTGGGATTTTGGTTTGCATTTCCCCGGTGATTAGTGATATGGGCCATCCTTTCAGATGTCTGCTGGCTATCTGACTGCCTTCTCGGAGAAGGTCTGTTCATGTCCTGTGCCCATTTTTTCATTGGATTTTTGTTTTTAATGTTAAGTTGTATAGGTTTTTAATATATTTTGGATATTAATTCCCACTTGGCTATATCATTGGTGAATCACTTTTCCCATTCAGTAGGTTGTCTTTTTGTTGTGTTGTTTTTCTTCACTGTGCAAAACTTGCTTAGTTGGTTACAATTCCAGTGTTTATTTTTACCTTTGTTGCCCTATCCTGAGGAGATACAATCAGGAAACATTGGTAAGACTGACGTCAAAGAGTTTACTGCCTATGGTTTCTTTTATAATACATGGCTTCAGATTTTACATCCAAGTCTNTGACATTCCCGATGACCCAATAGTTTTTTTTCCTTTCTTAAAATGTATATACATTTTTTGGCATCCCCTGTATATTATATACATATGTAGTATATATGCACATATATGTATATATAATATGTATATTTTGTATGTATATTTATACACATAGGAGCTCTAATATCAAAGAATATTGAAATGGTTTATTGGCCATTCTTCTTTCAACAATTTTCTTATCAGGGACTAAGAAACACATATACTATCTATATCTATACCTATATCTAGATACATTTTTGTGACAGGATCAGATTTTCTGTAGCTCCCTTTAAAGTCTACAATGTTATTTAGGATTGTAGATTTTGTTTGAGGACTGGCCCTTTTCTTGTCAGAATTATGCTTAGGATAGGCAAACCATTTTGGTTGATTCTGATTGTTTTTAATATGTTTCCTGAGTTAAAGGAAACATAGATTAAAAAGTTTGAGTAAAAGCACTTCTACTGAATACCAGCTTTCCTCAGCGAGTAAATGACCAAAGCTTTTCCTCCTGATTAGAGAACCCGTCTCAAGTAGGAAGAGGCTACGTGGCCATCACCATCCTGGACATCAATGACAACGCCCCCGAGTTTGCAATGGACTATGAGACCACCGTGTGTGAGAACGTCCAGCCCGGGCAGGTAAGAGGCTTTACAACACCGTGCCCCTCGTATGTGGCTGCTTTAAAAAGAACCGGCAGCAGCTGTCTGGGAAATTCTGCCAGCTTAAAGATAAAATATAATCAGCGTGTTTCAGCAAAACTTAACACTTTGATGTGTCGCATAAACTAATATTAAAGGAACTTTCAAATTCTGGTTTAATTGGGATGAAGAAAATTCCTCAAGAGGAAAGGTAAACATTGTAAAAACTCAGGCAAATGGTTAAGGGCTTAACCTCCTTGAAAGGAGAAAGCCAGCATATTAAGCCTGATGGGGCAGTTTTCCCACATTACACAGCAGGGCTTAAGTACCTTGAAGTTCTGAGAATTAAGTGTGGTTTAATCTCGGTGTGGTTTGCTCCGTGCCTCCATATTGCTCAGTGTCTTGTGATCTTTTCCTGGGATGGAATAATCGAGGGGCAAGCTTATTATTTCTGACGTTCACAAAAATTCAGACATGAATTTTGAGAAGGACGTGGCTTGTTGCTCAGAGCCCTTTTTAGATTGGGTCCATATCAGTGTATATCTCAGGAATACCCCAGTGTATACCCCAGCTCACTCAGGAAGAGGGCACTTCTTATAGGTGTACCATTGTTCTGTCCTGCCTCAGAAAACCTAGCAGAGCACACCAGT